TAGCGCATGCCAGTAGTTCCAGCTACTTGGAAGGCTGAGTTGGAAGGATCGCCAGAGCCCAGCAGGTCGAGGCTGCAGTGGCCGGGAGCGGCCACTGCACTCCAGTCTGGGCGACTGAGTGAGACTCCAACTCAAAAAAAAAAAAAAAATCCTAATTCTAAGCTGGGCTCGGTGGCTCAGCCTGTAATCCTGCACCTTTGGGAGGCTGAGGTGAGTGGATTGCCTGAGCCCGCGGGTTCGAGACCCGCCTGGGCAAATTGGCGGAGACCTCATCTCTACAATAAATCAAAATGAGCTGGGTGTGGTAGCGCGTGCCTGTAGTTCCAGCAACTCAGAAGGCTGAGGCGGAAGGATTGCCGGAGCCCAGCAGGTCAAGGCTGCAGTGGCCGGGAGCGGTCACTGCACTCCAGTCTGGGCGACAGAGTGAGACTCCAACTCAAAAATAAAAAATAAAAGCCGGGCTCGGTGGCTCAGCCTGTAATCCCGCGCCTTTGGGAGGCTGAGGTGAGTGAATTGCCTGAGCCCGTGAATTCGAGACCCGCTTGAGCAGTGAGACCTCATCTCTACAATAAATCAAAAAATCAGCCGGGCGTGGTAGCACATGCCTGTAATTCCGGCTACTTGGAAGGCTGAGTCGGAAGGATCGCCGGAGCCCAGCAGGTCGAGGCTGCGGTGGCCGGGAACGGCCACTGCACTCCATTCTAGGCAACCGAGTGAGACTCCAACTCAAAAAAAAAAAAAAAAAAATCCTAATTCTATGCTGAAAGTGAGACTACACAACTGCTACATCTGTAGTTTGGAAATTAGATTTATGGATCACTGGAAAGCCTCACTGTGTTTATAGGATAAGAGAGTCAGGCTGCTCTCTGAAGGAAGAAGTGTAACTGTTCATCTCTAGGGCTGAAATGTGAGATATTTGAGAAAGAACTCAGTTTAGTTTGTTTTGTGGGTGGAAGAAAGCATAACATATAACATATACAGTTCATCTACCAGTGTTGGGAGAGAGCTGGGGGCAACAGAGGTTTTTGGCTCCTCTGATACTGACCCAAGGTAAGTAATTTTTTACTTTTTTTTTTTTTGAGTTGGAGTCTCACTCTGTCGCCCAGACTGGAGTGCAGTGGCCACTCCCGGCCATCGCAGCCTCGACCTGCTGGTCTCTGGCGATCCTTCCGCCTCAGTCTTCCAAGTAGCTGAAACTACAGGCGCACACTACCATGCCTGGCTAATTTTTTGATTTATTGTAGAGATGAAGTCTTGCCAAGTTGCCCAGGTGGGTCTCGAACCACGGGCTCAGGCAATCCGCTCACCTCAGCCTCCCAAAGTGCAGGATTGCAGGCTGAGCCACTGAGCCCGACTACTTTTTACTTTTAATCCTGCCTTATTCCTTGTCAGTTCGTGAAATGGGAAAGGTAGCTCCTCAGGACTTGGGCATCTTTTTTTTTTTGAGTTGGAGTCTCACTCTGTTGCCCAGACTGGAGTGCAGTGGCCGATCCCGGCCACCGCAGCCTCAATCTGCTGGGCTCCGGCAATCCTTCCACCTCAGCCTTCCAAATAGCTGGAATTACAGGCATGCACTACCACGCCCGGCTGATTTTTTGATTTATTGTAGAGATGAGGTCTCACTGTCCAGGCAGGTCTCGACCCCGCGAGCTCAGGCAATCTACTCACCTCAGCCTCCCAAAGGCGCGGGATTACAGGCTGAGCCACCGAGCCCGGCTAGGATTTAGGCATCTTAAGTTAGATGTGGCTACAGGCAAATTCTTCCCTGCAGGATGCTCTAGCCTTGAGGATAGAATGACATGGCTTCATTGCTTTGCAGGCACCTCCTTCTTGCCATTTTTTCATTTAGCATATTCATTCACTTTTTTTTTTTTGAGTTGGAGTCTCATTCTGTTACTCAGACTGGAGTGCAGTGGCTGCTTCCGGCCACTGCAGCTTCAACCTGCTGGGATCTGATGTTCATTCCGCCTCAGCCTTCTAAGTACCTGGAACTACAGGCGTGCGCTACCATACCTGGCTAATTTTTTTTGATTTATTGCAGAGATGAGTTTTCGCCAAGTTGCCCAGGTGGGTCTCGAACCTGCGGGCTTAGGCAGTCCACTCACCTCAGCCTCCCAAGGTGCAGGACTACAGACTGAGCCCTGCTCCGGCTAATTTTTGATTTATTGTAGAGATGAGGTCTCGTCAAGTTGCCCAGGTGGGTCTCGAACCCACGGGCTCAAGCAATCCACTCACCTCGGCCTCCCAAAGTGCTGGGATTACAGGCTGAGCCACCGAGCCCGGCCTCATTCACTTCTATATGCCAGGCACCATGTTAGGGGCTAAAGAGATAGTGGGAACATTTTTCTTCTGTTGGTTTATCTAGGGGAATGTTCCAAGAAAGTAAGTGAAGTAGAGTTTTGTGAGCCTGTAGGAAGTACAGTGCTTATATCTAAAATAAATGAGAGAGTTTCGTGTCTTTTTTTTTTCTTTTTTTTTTCCCGTCGTCCACGCTGGAGTGCAGGGGGATGCTCGTGGCTACTCCAGCCTCGACCTGCTGGGCTTAGGCGATCCTTTCGCCTCAGCCTTCCAAGAAGCTGGAACTACAGGCGCGTGCCACCACACCCGGCTACTTTAGAGACAAGGTCTCGCCAAGTTTCCCAGGCTGGTCTCGAACTCCTGGGTTCAGGCATACTACTTCCATCTCCCAAAGTGTTGAGATTATAGGCGTGAGCTACCACCTCCAACTCACATTCTTCTTTTATGAGCCTATTTCTGTTTACCAGTCTTGGAACTTTTTGAATGAAAATTAGAAAATAAAACAACTAAAGCTGGAATCTTACTTGTACTAAGGACAATGAAGAATGACTTTCCTAACCAGATATCCTGTTTGTTTTAGACTCTGAGCTTTTTGAATAAGGAAAAAAAACATTCTTTGAACCTATTCATCTTGTGTAGAGTTCCAGGCCATTCCCCTTGTTTTTTTTTTTTTTTTTTGAGTTGGAGTCTCACTCTGTCACCCAGATTGGAGTGCAGTGGCCGCTCCCGGCCACCGCAGCCTCGACCTGCTGGGCTCTGGTGATCCTTCTGCCTCAGCCTTTCGAGAAGCCGGAATTACAGGCATGTGCTACCACACCCGGCTGATTTTTTGATTTATTGTAGAGATGAGATCTCACAGCCCAGGCGTGTCTCAAACCCGCGGGCTCAGGCAATCCACTCACCTCAGCCTCCCAAAGGCGCGGGATTACAGGCTGGGCCACCGAGCGCAGCCATTCCCCTTGTTTTAGGAGGTTTCTCTGAAGCTCTCCCTCTCAGGGAGCCAGGCAGCTGCAGCATAGCACTTTCTTTTCTTTTTCTTTTTTTTTTCTTTGAGTTGGAGTCTCACTTTGTTGCCCAGGCTGGAGTGCAGTGGCACTCTCACAGTCACTGCAGTTTCTACTTCTTTCTAGGCTCAGGCGTTAATGAGTTAGACTTGTTTTCTTCCCATCATTCTCCAGACATGGTTGGATGTGGAATCCTCAGTTGGGAAAAGTCGTTTTAATGTGCTTTCAGAAAGTTGTGCTCTGGGGATTATAGAGGCTGTTGGAGTGATTAGTGTTTGGTCTCTTTCATCTCACTCTTCTTCCTTAGTAATGGCTGTCTGATTCCTGCTTCTGTTTTTTTGAGTTGGAGTCTCACTCTGTCACCCAGACTGGAGTGCAGTGGCCGCTCCCGGC